TTCTTCACAATAACTCTGACTCTACGTCTACATGCTGGCTTTCCACAAAATTCATTCATTCATTCATTCATTCATTCATTTCTTTTGTGATGAAATTAAGAATCCCATCTCTCTGAAAGAGCTCCCTTAGCTGCTGTGGGTGTCTTTGGTCCCACTGCTGCTGGTAGTGACAGCAAAGAATACCTCTCAGGAATCACCATCCAGGGTGCCAGGGTGCCAGGGTGGACTTCTCTTTGCTTCATATATTATAGATTTGTTGTGTGTGTGTATGGGTACATACATGCCATAGCGTGTGTATGGAGATCAGAAGACAACTCCAGAGATTCACTTCTCACCTTCCACTATACGGGGAGCTGGGGATTGAACTCAGGTCATCAAGCTTGACGGCAAGTGCCCTTAATCGTTAAACCATCTCTAGTCCCATAGTGGACTTCTCTTCCCTTAACAAATGTGTCCAAGTGTGGCATTGCTACATGGCCGTCTATGAAGCTCACACTTGAGAACTGCACAATTAAGTTTTTAAAAAATGGTAAGTCCTTGGCACTTCCTAATGTTTTAAGTAATGCTCATGGGCTGTTATCCTGAATGACACATGGGCTACTAAATGAAGTTTAGCCCATAATCCAGTGACCATGGCAAAAGACTCCGAGAGTCAGGTCTGGGCTTCATTTCCACGCCGTCCTAATTCATACATCTGGTTCTCTCTGTGACTCCCCATTGTTTTGGAAATTAACTCAAGAACAGAAAGGAATGGAATTGATGTCATTTTCCAAGGAAAGGGTTCTTGTCTTCCTTTTATGTGTGCTGCGTGACTTTTCCTGGGGAGAGATGAACAAGCAACCATTTACTCTCGATTCGGCCTGGTGACGTCTGAGAGAGATGGGTACAGTGCACGCCCGACGTGTGAGCCAATGAATTTGTTGGGGTTACTTACAGAAACAAAGGTGGGGGTTCACTTAACAGCAGTGTGGGTGACTCAGAAATCATTGCATCATCTCAAGGTCCCACCTACCACGGGTGACAGCTTCTCGGAATGCCTCCTTCAGTCAGCCTGCCCTCTCTTCTGTACCCCAGCATCTCCCAAGAATGTGTGCAGCCGGGGTGTAGGAAGGAATAATGTTTGGAATCCCAACCGAGGGTCCTGGGACTAGTCTTCCTCTCTTACCCTGGTCGTTCCGTTACCATTGCCTTATCTACCAGTTTTGCTGTGATTATATCGTTTCCACAACTGTGGGCCAAGCATCGTGGAAGTGTCATGGCAGTCCCTGCTCTGTGATGACCAATGATCATGTCACACCTGTAGAAAACTGCTTTACTCCATATGTGTATATATAAGATATACATATACACATATATAATATAATATACGATCTATATATATGTTTAGATTTGTAGAAGTCCAACATAATTTGTTGAAGGTGTATCCCTGATAATCATCAAAAGCATGCATTCTTTGTATTAGTGTCCTACCATTATTTTTTTTAAATATAACTAATTAATTGTGTGTGAATCTTTATATGTATGTGCCCACGTGTTTGCAAGCAGGCGGTGTGCCTGTGTGCAGGTGCACATGTATGGGTGTGCGTGCACTGTATGTGAGCCTGTGGAGGCTCGAAGTCAATCTCAGGTTTCATGGAGATGGGTCTCTCACTTGCTCTGGAGCTTACCGATTCAGCCAGGCAGGCTCGGGCAGCAAGTCTCCGGGATCCTCCTGGCTCATCTTCCCAGCTCTGGGAATATAGAACGTGCCTGGCTTTTCCCTGTGCACTCTAAGGGTTGAACTCAGATCTCCGTCCCTGCCTGGCAGCAACGCTACCTACTTATCCAGAGACTGCAGCCAGTGACCTGCCATTTGCAGTCTTCCTACGGATAAGCTTTTTGTTAGTGACGTGCGGAGTGAAGGGAGAGTGACAGTTGGCTCCTGCCTCGGCCATATGTCTGTTTTACTTTTTGGGGCCCGGAGCTTTGGTGAGGGCTGTCCCAGTTGCCGTGATGAGTGAACCTCTGATAGAAATAGAGAAGTCAGGAAGCGCAACCTATTTGTGGGAAGATGATTAATTCATTTTTAGACATTTTGAATTTGAAAGGAGGGTTTGACGTCCGGATGGAAGTGCCTGGCGCTTCGCTGGGGCTGTGGAGTCTAAATAACTCCTGGGCGCCTGTGTTGCAGAGCTGTTTTTATAGTTTCCCTCTAAGTGGCTTCGCGCTCTGGTCAAGTCTCCCTCTTAGGGACTTCATTGTTTGACTGCATAGCAGCTCCAAGGCTAAGTAAGCAGCAGCCTTGCTGGCGTGTCTTAGAATTGAAGGTGTGTGTGTGTGTCGGGGGGGGGTGAGGCTGTCTGCCTGGCTTTGTCGCTTAGTCCTGTGGAAGGGAAAAGACGGCAGAAGAGAGGTCCCTGGTGCTGGACAGTGCGCAGGTGCCACAGTCACGAGTGTTTTGCGTCCCTCCTCTTTTCCTCCCCCTCCCAACCCTTCCCCTCCTCCTTCCCCCCTACTCTTCCTCTTCCTTTGTGTCCTCCTCTTCCTCTTCTTCCTTCTCTATTCTTTCTTCTTTTCTGCCTCTTCTTTCCCTTTCTCTTCCTTTTCCCCCTTCTTTCTCTTTTTATTCTGTATTTCACTATGCAGCCCAGGCTAGTCTTGACTTGGCTGTGTCGCTGCCTTCAAACTGGTGATTCTCCTACTCTATACTTCAGAGCGCTCCGATCACACGCCGTTCCCCATTTGGGTTTTTCAGACGAGCCAGGTCAGAAGGCTTTGGACAGTGATTTTTAGGGATTAACATCGAGTTGTCTGTTACCCTCCATTGGGTGCACACTTCACAGAAGACACAGAGGTTAACAGTGCAGACGCAAACTTTAGTGCCAAAAAGGATTCTGCACGTTACTTACCCAGAGATAACAGACATGCGCAGAGGCATTCCTTTCATGGGAACCAGGGCCTTGAACCTGTGCTGGGAGGAGATTACCCTTTCTATCACTTAGTCTAAAGAGACACCTTGCAATAGACCTGTATATGTATGTTAGAGGGAGAACTTTGTGTGTGTGTGTGTGTGTGTGTGTGTGTATGTGTGTGTGTGTATACCAGAGGAAAACCTTGGGTTTTGTACCTCAGGAGCCACCCACATTGTCTTTTGAGGCAGAGTCTCTCTCTCTGGCCCGTGGTTCACCAAGTAACCTAGACTCTCAGGCTAGAGATCTTAAGGAATCCACCTCTCCGGTGTTGAGATTAGCAGTGTGCACCGCTATATCTGACTTAATTTTGTGTGGATTCTGGGGTTCAGTCTGTTTCTCGTGTTGGCAAGGCAAGCACCTTACCCACCGAGCTATCTCCCCTGTGCTGGAAGACCCACTATGCCCTAGTAATTGCAGTTACTTTGGCTGGACAGCACGTGACTCTGGCCTTGAGGAGTCTTCAACTTCATTAAGAGAGCCCTAAATCTCTTCATTCTTGGACACCTTTCTTCATGGGAAGCCATTTCTGAATGTAACCTCTTTACCCCAATCAGTTTTGAGGGAAGTGGATGAGGGGGTTCATCTCAGACTTACATTCCCCTGCATGCATGGACTTGTAAAAACCTGGAGCTGAGTATGGTAGTGACTCCCTGTAGCCCCAGCACTCAGGAGTTTGAGTCAGGGCATCTTCAAGTTCAAGACCAGTCTGGGCTATGTAGTGAGTTTGGGGTCAGCTTTGGAGCTCAGTTTCTTTTCTTGGTTTGTATGTGTGTGGTGTATACACACATATGTGCAAAAGTATAAGTGCGTCTGTGTATGCCTGCCCATGAAGAGGCCAGAGGAGGACATCAGGCCTCCTTCTCTATTGTTTATTCCCTTGAGACAGGATCTCTTACTGACCCTAGAAGAGGGTGGCAGCCAGCAAGCTTCTGCTCTCCTTTTGCCTCCATCCCGAACCTCCATGCTGAAGCTACAGGCACACACACATGGATATGCCCATCTTTTCACATGGATGCCGAGGATTTAGGATCGCATACTTATTCAGAAGTAACCTCTCCCATTGAGTCGTCTTCTCAGCCCCCTAAACTCTCAATCAAAAACCTGAAGATTTTGCACACTTCTTGCCTTCCTCGAGTGTTGTTATGGCTGGGACACCCACTTTCCCTGGGGACTGTGACTACTTACAGCTTCACATGAGCGTAGCCAAGACGTCCCATTGATCGAAGGGTCAGCATTTCTGGAACGCTTAGGTTTTTCCTATACGGAGGGATAATATTTGAGGCTCACGAAGGGCATGAAGGGTGGTTTCGTTTATCTGATGCAACAGGAAGGCTGGGCTTGGTGGTGTGAGTCTGTAGTCCCAGCTACTCAGAAGGCCTAGGCGAGACTGCAGGATGCAGGCCAGCCCCAAGCTACACGGTGAGTCCAAGCGCAGCCTGGGCTATAGAATGAGTTTTGGGCCAGCCTGGGAAAATTAACAGGGCTCTGTCTCAAGAGAGAAAGGGCTAGTGGACCAGAGATATAGCTCGACTGCAAAATGCCTGTCTAAGATATTTCTGCTGTACTGCAAAAACAAAAAAATGAAACAAGCAAACAACAACAACATCAAAAAACCGGAACAAAACAAAAATAAAAGGAAGTAGTTTGTTAATCTGTCATGCTTTCCCGTGGTTTCCAAGGGCGTTGCAGCTCAAATGCATATGAAATTGGAGAAATGGAGATGTTAAGTCGCAATGAAGGAGGACCCAAGGTCCTTCTAAATTTCGTCTTTTAGTGTGTGTGTGTGTGTGTGTGTTGTGTGGATGTGCACGTGTGTGGGGGTCAGATGGAACTTGTAGGATTCTGTTCTCTCCTTCCGCCATGCGAACCCCAGGGCTCACACCCAGATTGTCAGGCTCAGAAGCAAGTCCCTTTGCCCACTGAGCCGTCGCACCTGCCCCGGCTATGTAATTTTGCCATCTGAAAAACAGAGCCAATCCTCCAAGGGAACGATGATGGAGTGGACGAATGGTGATGTCCTTCTCTCCTCTTCTGTTGTCTCCGGAACAGGGAGAAGATGCCGTTCCACCATGTGACCGCTGGCTTGTTGTACAAGGGGAATTACCTCAACCGATCTCTGTCCGCAGGCAGCGACAGCGAGCAGTTGGCGAATATCTCTGTGGAAGAGCTGGATGGTAAGGAGCTGCCTACAGGGGGCTTAGCCCCCTCCCCGAAGCCATTTTGGATAATTGGGAAGCTGTATTGGGTGTTGGGAAAGTCCCCAGACTGTTGGGAAACCATTTTGCACATTGGCGAGCTGAGAGTGTTTGGCACTGGCAGTTGGGACTAGGTGTGGAGTGATGGGAAAGACTTAAGGGACAAACTTTGGTCTAAAGGACTTCTTTGTGTGGGATGGACCTTGTGGCCCGCAAAATCTATGATGAATGTGGTTACTTTGACAACTTATTGGGGGATGAATTAATTTTTTTTTCTTAAAATCTATTGTTGGGATCCTCTTGTGATGGCAAATGCCTGTCAGCACTCAACTGAGGCAGGGGGATGGAGAACTGATTAACCAGGACTACGAAGTGGAGATCAAGGTTACTGTGGCCTATATAATGAGATGCTGTCTCAAAGCAACAAAACAAAAGACGTATTATGTATATAGTTGGCAGGGTCTTTACAGCCAGAATTACCTTGTTTTCTTTATTGTCATTTATGGTGGAGTCCATCTGCCGGGGAGGCTTAAGCCCCGTTTATTGCTGTCTCTTGACTTGGGGCCATGGTACTTTGAACAGTGCCCAAATAAGAATCATCTGGAAGCTTCATCTAGGTGGGAACAGGCAGCAATTACCTTAATTGTCTTTGTTCTTGTATAACCCGGCACATCCCCGAGTGCCCAGGACAAGGGTTTAGGATGGAAATTAGCCCTGGCAAGACAATGGCCCAAATTCATTTTAGGATGGTGTCCCTAAGATGGTGTAGTTTGGATGAACCCACAGTCTTATTTAAAACAACAACAACAACAACAACAACACAAACTAAAAATCAAAGGGAGTAAAGCCTTTATTCTCAACTAGAGAGTGAGGTTGATTCATTTGATGATGCCTGCTGAGACCAAACCAGAATTGGTTTCCGCGTGACTTCTTAATGCTGTATTCTAGCAATACCACCTTACTAAATAAACTTGAATTTTGCTTTGATTATAGAGAAGTTGCAATTACTCCAGATGGACCATGTCTTTGCTTCTAAGGTTCAGATCCGTGGCATTTTAATGTGTCTCTTAGTGAGCTGAATTTCCCACTAACACATTCTTGGGCCAACACAGGTACAGTGGCTTGCGTACGACAGAGGGGGAGGAATGTAACGATGGCAGGCCATCGAGAGATTTTCCTTCTGTTACTGGTCTTGTTTGCATGGTTATGGCAATGCTTGGTTTTCCACGCAGATGACCAATGAAGCAGTAGGACTTGTGGGTTGTTTCCATGGTGATACTGGGAAAGGTTGGGAAAAGTGGGCATTGTTTGGGATGTAGCTCAGGGGTAGAGCAGTTGCGCACTGTGGGGAAGGTTCTGGGTTTGAGTCTCAACACTCCTGAGAGAAGTACCCAGGAGAATGGGGAGGAAGGGAGGAGAAACGCGTGCATATACATCAACACCAACTCATGTGCCCCACTCAGCCTCCACCCCTGGACCACATCTGTCTTTCGTATCTGAACAGAGGCTGTTGGCCTGAGAGGTGAGTCACACCCTGAGATCGTTCCACCTTCTGCTGGTGAAAGGCTGTGTACAGATGCACTCTGTAAAAGCAGGAGGAGAGCCCTGCCATCTCCAGAGTGAGCCCAGGTTTGTAACCACAACAAGAAGACTCCATGCTTGGATGGCATCTTAGTCCATTTGAAACTGCTGTAACAGAATGCCACAGTCAGGCTGATCTGTCAATGACAGGAAGTTATTTCCCATAGCTTGGGAAGCTAGGAGTAGAATATTATGGTGATATCCATGCATCCTCAGTAGGCACACCGATGCCATTCATAAGGGTTTTGTCCTTTTGATAACCTAACCCAAATGTCCCACCTCAATATGTAGGTGATTTGGTTTCCCTGTAGGAATTCTGAGGAAACACAACATTACAAATGTAGGAGGTATATTTGAAGGTAAAGAGAAACCTGAGTTTTGTCCCATTTTGGAAGTTTATGACTGAGATGGTATGGTGCATAGGTCTGGGGCAGATTGTTACAGGACCCTGTGGTGGTTTGATTCTAAAATGTTCCCCAATAGCTCATTCTTTTAATTTTTTCTCCTCCTCTCTTTTATTACATAAACTACTTTATTTTGCTTTATAAAAATAAAAATAACTGTAAAGGATCCTGAGTATGTGACTCATTAGCGTTGTATCATCCCAGCACCTTGACCCACCTTTTACAGTCAGTTCACCGATAGGGATCAAGCTTTAGTTTTGTAACTAACCTTTGGATATGATTCTTTGACTAGGTTTCGTAGACCCAGCTTTCTGCTCATGTTCAGCATCTCCATGGTTGATGTAGTATTTAATTAACTGCAATTATTGCAAGTATATAAACATAACTAATTCTTGGTAAATTGATGGGAGCAGAAGCAGATGTACTGATTTGATGGAAAATCCACTTAACTAGAGGTGCATGTTCAGCAATTTATCAGTAGGTTTTACACAGAGAATGGAGAGTGTTGATAATTTTACCACAGTTGGTTAAAAAAAAAGGTTCGTAGAAGCTGCTGCTGCCTTGCCTTCTAGTATCTGTGAGTATAAATGTGTGTTAGTGTATTTTATCTTTTAAGATTTGTTCTTGGGCCGGATGGTGGCTATGCACACCTTTAATCCCAGCACTTGGGAGGCAGAGGCAGGCGGATCTCTGTGAGTTCGAGGCCAGCCTGATCTACAAGAGCTAGTTCCAGGACAGCTTAGGCTGTTACACAGAGAAACCCTGTCTCAAAAAATTAACAAACAAACAAAAAAGATTATCTCCCTCTCTCTATCCCTTCCTCCCCTCCTTTCTCTCTCTCTCTCTCTCTCTCTCTCTCTCTCTCTCTCTCTCTCTCTCTCTCTGTGTGTGTGTGTGTCTGTGCTTGTGTGTAGATACATGTGTGTTCAGGTGCCTGTGGAGGCCAGAAGAGGGCACCAGATCCCCAGAACTGGAGGTTTGGGTTGTGAGCTACCTAGGTTTTTGTGCTGAGAACTGTACTTGGTTCCTCTGCAAGATCAGAAAGTGCTCTCCAGCTTCAGATATTTTGCTATACAGCTGTTTAAATAAAGGATCCAAGTCCAAATAATAATTGTAATTTTTTGGTGACGGTGCTTGGGTAGTTCAAACCCAGGATCCTATGAATGCTAGAAGCTATTGTACCTTTGTGAGCTTGTGCTTTGGGTTTGTATTCTCCCCCTGTGGTACTGTTTAGGGAGGAGGTGGGACCTTTAGTGGGTGGAGCCTGGGTGTCAGAAGCAGATCTCAAGGGGTAGTACCACTAACAGTTATCCACCTACTAGTTCTTATCATTCTATCTTTTTCATCCACGATGACACGAGTACCCTCACTCACCCACTCCCACTGTCGTGAGCTGAGCTGTAGAGGCGTGAAGGCACAGTCCGCTAGGCTTAGCTGCATTAGGAACTTGGGACACCCCACAGTAAGCAACCTGGCCCTGGGAACTGAACAACGGTACCTATACATTTCGGGGTAGTTCTTGTGTGTGTGTGTGTGTGTGTGTGTGTGTGTAGCTGCATGTGCATTGTGGGGGTGTTTTTGCATGTGTGTACAAGTGCACATAGAAGTCAGAAGACAGCCCTCAAGTGTTGCTTCTTAGAATACAGCCACGTTGTGTTCTTGAGACAGGAGTTTCATTGGCTGAAGCTCATCAGGTAGGATGGCTGGCCTGTCAGCGAGTGCTGGGGGTCCTCCTGTCTCTGTCTCCCCAGGACATTCCACCATTTCCACCATGTCATGTTTATTTCTTCTTCTTCCTCCTCCTCCTCCTCCTCCTCTTCCTCCTCCTCCTCCTCCTCCTCCCCCACAACTTGATCCTGAGAATCAAAATCTCAAAATCAGATTGTCATGCTTCTAAAACCAGCACTTCAATGACTGAGTTATGTCCCCAGCCCCATTTTGGGTGACCTTTGCAGGGTTTGAGATTACTAATCTGGTGAACTTTGAAAGTCATCTATGACTTCAACTTTGTAAGTGCCAACAATGGGCAGCTCACAATCTATAGCCCCAGCTCCAGGGATCTGGTTCCCTTTGGTTCCTTGTAACTATTCCCTTAATAATTAGGAGATAACTTCTAGGTGATTTAAAGCAAGCTGAAACTTTGTTGCAGTTAATCTGAGCCCTGCTACAGCAACTCTTCATGGCCCTAAAGACTGCTGATTGGATTTGGACTGTTCTTCCCCGCTGTCTCCTATATAGGCTCCTTGCTGAGATGCCCTTCTCATTCTTGGGCAGGCTATAAAACAAACAAGTGTACTGCTGTTTAAACCAGGCCTGGGCATTCTGAACTGGACCTGAGTGTACCTTTTTAGTAGATACAGGAGCTGGCAGGAATTGTAACTACCCTCTTAAGTGCAGATGGGGGGGGGTCCCTGGTTGAGAGAAACCAGCGCTTTATGACCCGAGGCTGACTGGTGAAGTTGATGTGTTTGTCCTTCAGGATGGTAATCCAGACTCTCTGCCGGCAGAAGGGCCATTTATTTTTCTGATGGAAGATTCATTTCTATTTATTTATTTATTTATTTATTTTGCCAAGGTGAAGCTGAGCCATGGCTCTTCCTGCTTTATTGCAAGCATCCCGGGGCTCCGGGCATGACAGTGAAGATGTGCTCTGGGTTTAGAGCAGACAGGCAAGGCCTGAACACCAGCTGGCAAGAGCCAGCTCACCAGGCTGCAGATTGGATCTTGGGGAAGACGAATTCCCGACCTATTGTGTAATTGATCTTTTTTGTGGGCTGCCTGATGTGAGAGCTTCTCCCGCTTCCGGCCACTCATGTATCCCTAGGAGACAGGCAGCACGGTACATAGACTTGGTACCCTGGACACTGATAGTCATTACAGTATCCTCCATGATTTGTCTGGGTTGCTATATTCCTTTTTTTGTTTGTTTGTTTCTGTGAGCACAATGCGTTTAGAGGGCAACTTGAACAGAGGAAAGAATCATTTCGGCTCATG